AGGAGTTTCACTTTGAGGTTTGGCTTCTGGGTAGGGGACCTTCACATCTTCTCTGTCGCTTCCTTCTTGTCCGCTGTCTTTTCGAAACCGATGGGCGAACTTGCGTTTGAGAGCTTCAGCGATGAGACCTGCAGGGTCAGCCGGCTCGCTGGACTTCGATTTGTCTTCAACTTTCTCTAAGCGACTATAAAAAGTTATAAAAATTATACATTTTGAATCAATGAATAAACCACTCTGTGCATCAAAACTGAGCCTGAAAGTGTGAGACGAACCTTTTGACCGACCGCAGCTTAACTTTGTCTATGTCCTTCAGGATGTCCAGCATGCTGGGGATTTCTGCTGGCTTTGAATCCTCAGCGGCCTGCTCATCTTTCTTCTTCCCCCGTCTTTCTTTTATCAGCTCGATGGCTGAAAATGTTCGCAGTAGTGTTGGTGCAGGAGGAGGAGGAGGTGGTGGTGGCGGAGGAGGGATGCTACCAAAAGGTGGAGGAGCCCCAACAACAGCTGGCGTGAAATGGGAAGAATAGAATAAAAGCTTTAAGTGATGTAGTGATCTGCTGCCATCTAGTGGAAAGAACAGTGAATTAGAGTTGAAAACAAATGATCAAATTGGCCAGAAATAAATATGTTACCCGACTGCGCTGTCTTTTCCTGAGCCAAGACAATCTGAGCTATCTGCGCTCTGAGTTTGGCAAGTTCAGTCTCCAGCGCACTGATCTTCTGGATCGCCTCGTCGTTTGCAGCAGTTGGTCCACGTGGGTCAGGTGTGTCCTCGTGCAGACTGGGCAGGGAGCGCCGGCGGGCGACCCGTTTGCTCTGAGGACGAGGCTGCTGGGCCCGAAACATGAAGCCCGGTAGGATTTCTGGCCTGCTTCAACCAGACTATTGGTCAGGAAGTTCCACCGCTTAAATACAGAGCTTCACAAACTTCACATTTTGTCACAAATTAGGATGGACTTTATTAGACTTGTGTGAGATGGACTAACATGAAGCAGTGCACACTGGGAAGTGGAGGAAAAATTCTAACTGGTTTTTCCACAACACTTTCCCTGCAACAGCACCTGCAAATCTTTTTCAACCTTGAAGTCTTCTTGCAGGATTGCCCTCCACCCGTCTTCACAAAAAATAAGCTTCCCTGTCCCTGCACAGCATGACACTGCCACTACCATGTTCCACTTCAAGGATGGTGGGCTCTGCGTTTTCTAAAATAAACAGCGTCTTTGTCCCTACATGTCTCTGGAAATATGCAAACATAGGAAGACTTTTTGTTCGGTGCTTTCACCTGGATTTGCCAAAGTAGCCTTCATCATCCTCTTCACCCCCTTCGATCCAGGCGACGTCAGCGAGGGAGGCGACCAGGTTGGTCTGCCTCTTGGCTCTGATGAGAACTCCAGCCTCCTCACTGTATGGATAAAGCTGCAGGGATGAGGAAAACCGTTTAACACTTCAGCAGTGACCGTCCATACAATCATGGATGGCTTTCAAGTAAATATGAAAACAAAATGAAGTATTTGGAAATCAATGCAACTCCAACATTGCACAAAGGCAACAAACCAAATGCTAAAGAAAAAACATCACTATTTCACTGTGTAATCAATACATTTGTTTATTTCTTCACTCATGATAACAGGTATTTTCTGGTTATGTCAGATTTAACCACCCTGTGGTTAAATCCAGTGTCATTAAGTTACACTGGAATGGCAAAATGTGAGGCAAGCTGTACCTCTGCATATTTGAAGTTCAATAGCCCTTAAGATAATGCTGTGTTGCTGATGCTCTTTTACTGAGTAGAGCAAACAGAAACAAAGACTCTAAATTCAAAAAGTGCTTATAAGACATACCTTTTCAGTTACTAGATAAAGGATACATCTTGTCGCCTCACAACTCCAATATAAACAGCCTCTTTTCATGAAGCAGGTCACTAATTTAATAACCTGTCACATCAAAATTGTGTGATGTGCTCCACAGTGCACCACATTTATATAGCCCTGCCTCATATTATTAAAATGATCAGAGCAACCAGACATGGGCAAACACGTCACACCGCTTAGCAGATACAGCCTGAACTGCAAGAATTAAAATCACACACTCCCAAGAATAAAATCACAAATACTTCAAACATTTTATTAAATATAATATTAGAAGTGATGAGCAAGAGGAGAAACTTGAACTTTTTTAAAAGCATGCTTCTGGGATCAAATCACAAATATTAAAAACAAATATCAAAAGTATTCAGAACATGTGAACTTTTCCATATTTTATCTCACAAGAACCACAACCTTTAATGCATTTGTTAGATATTTGTAGTGACAAACCTACAAAGTAGTAAATACACCGTGAAACACTTTTTGCTTTCTTTTCTATAAATAAGTAAAATTGTTACAGTTTGGCATGTTGCACGCATTTATTTTCAGCTTCCATTGTTTTGGTGTCCCTAAAAAAAGCCCCTGTGCAACAGATTCCACATAAAAGTCAATGAATTAGAAAACCTAGTCCATTTGTGTGCTATTCAGTCTCATACATATGGTTAAATAGAGAAAGTGAAGAAGGAGGTCTACAGCCTGACTACATGCATCAGTGACTCAGTGAGTCTTCAATAAGCTTAAGGTTGTTGACGGTTGCTGAGCAAGACTGACCTAAAGCAGACAGACTGCATTCCTCAGAGAAAGGGAGGGCAGCTGCAGAAAGAAGAGAAAAAGAAGAAAGGGCACAGTTTTGAAAAGCGAAAAAGCAGAAATGAAAGGAAATCAAATGTCAATCAAATCTCCAGTCTTGTACCGAAACAGTCAGCATTCTCATTGGTAAAATCCTACGTGTGATTATAAGTGACGCTCTCTGTTGATAGTTCATAAGTGACAACAGCCAAAGAAGGAAAAAGAAAGAAAAAATAAACACTGATGAGGGTGTGAGCTTTGTTTGTACACGGACTTGACATTAGTTTGGAGAAATGGATGGAAAAAGGGTGATAAACATAGCTGAAGAAGCCATTAGCGACTTGAAAGAAATGTTAGATTTGGATAAAAATAAAAAGGAAGTTGCACCTTACCTGAAAATGAACCCGGGGGCATGGCTTAATGGGAAGACTGGACGCGATTCTCCTTACCAAACTTCTGGAAGAACCATAAGGCTTTCCTGAACCAAACGCCTACAAGGGGAAAATAAAATACAAGCATGCATCAACATGTCTGTTACAGGGACTTCTGTTCTCTTAGGGGACACAAGACAACTATTCCCACCAACCTGACATCAAAACAACACTTTACATGTTCATTGAAACAAACAATGAACTAGACCACTTCTTTCTGTTTTGTTTATTTGTTTTGGATGTTTAAAATGTCTTCTAGTTCCATTGTCAAATGTCTCATGTATTCTAGTAGCAGAATACATGAGACCTCTCCGTCCCCAAGTGTTTTTTGAACAAAGTATATTGATAACAATATGAATTTAGTCAGGCTTCCAAATCTTTGTCCTGTGCTGCAGAGATGTTACGAATCTCACCATTGCAATTTCACGACACTAAAAAAAAAATACATAAATAAAGAACAATAAAGCAGTTACCCACCAGATCCATTTCAATCTTTGCATGTTCTTTACTCATTTCTTTTGATCAGATTCAAAAACACATAGGGAACATGTCTCCAGATCAACATGATCCACAGAAAGAGCCTGAAAAGAGGAGCTGGAAGAGAAAAAAAAACAGAATAAACAAACTAAAAATGCTTTATGCAATATACTACATGCCAACCCTTGCTATAATGTTGTTTTTGTCACCCAATGCTATCATTAAAGTACATTTTGATCCAAAAAAAGCATTTCTTAGTGAATCATTCCAAGAATTGGTACAAGTCGTAAAATCGTGAAAGGACAAAATGGGTCTAACAAAGAAAGGAGAGCAAACATGCTTCTGATAGCACAGCTTGTGTTCGTTTCTCTATCTCCACGTTGTAACCTTGTCTATCCTTAACTGTATCCGTGGAAATAAACACGTAGGGCAAAACTACATGGTGAAAGTTACCTTACACTGACGCTTGTTTCGATAGTTGGCCACTTTAAAATCAACAAAAACACCCCGGTTCAAAGTGGCCAGTCTTTTATCGACATTATTCTTTAGTTAGACCTTCGATTAGCGGGTCACAATGCTAACTAATGCTAACGATAGCAGCGGTGCTTAGCGAATCCAAACTTTACGGTTCTCAAGATTTAAGCTTAAAGTCTTAATTAAGCTAAATGTGGGAGTGTTATTGACCATTTGACTTTTACCGCTATATATGTAGCCAAAAATCAGCTGCATAAAAGTTAAACTTACTGAAAGCCGCTATCTCTAGTTTCGGCACCTTCCCAACACGACGCCGAGCACAAGGGATAAATAATGTGGGAAGAACTTTAGGATTGTGTTTTTAACCAATCGGATTATTGGATTTACAGAGCACGGATTGGTTGTTTGTGTTGAGTGACTAACCACTTCACCAATCAGTGCTAGCGCATCCTCCTACTTTACCGTGAGATGGACAGACAACTAAATCACTTCTATACTTTGTGTGGCATTGGATTCTATTTAGCTTAAGGTTTGTGACTGTGTAGTTTGTGGGGCTCACCTGTTTAACATTTGGAGGTAAGAAATAGTAAGTGGGAAGTAGAAAGAAGAAGTATGATCAGTGAAAGTGATTGAAATGAAAAGCACTGCTTGTGTTTTCGTCATTTGGTTATTAACCGGTCACTTTCTGGCTTTGGCTCAGATACATATTCCGTTAGCAAAACTTTTTCCAAAAGTAAAACTGCCACACACAACATGGCTAACGCTATGACGTATCGCACGGCATGTACGTCAACACTGTAGTCGATCATGTTTCCCCGTCCAATCAGATTTCAGGGAAGCTTTCAACGTTTGTTTTATATTCCCGCACATCCCGGTGGAAAAATGGCACTTAAAATGACTGACATCACGTCGGTGGCACTGGAATGTCCTTGATGACAAAACAACTGCACCCTGTCGGTGTGCTTCCAAACCCAAACACTGTGCACAGCTGCTAGCTAAAGAAGCGCAGGGGAAGAAAGGGGACACAGGCCAAGGGGTGGTGAAATTGTTTTTGCTACTATTTATTTTAAGTAGTTTCGTAACATAGTTATTGGTTCAGGTCTCAGTTTTGTATTCATAGTGGCTGAGTCGATCCGGATTTGGCTTGGGACTTTCATGACCAACTGACATAAAGTTAGCTTAGGAGTACGGATAGTTAGCTTAGCCTAGCCGCCGCTGAATCGGCTGTGTACAACAGGGCGTGATTTAAGGTGAGCCTGGGGACACAAAAAACGAGCCTTCACGTTCACCGTTACAAACCCTTTAATACGTAAGCCTTAATGTGCTGTCGCGAACGGATTTGTTTTTGAAATATTCTTCTAACCACATACAAAAATATATTTTGTTGCATATGACAGCTGCGGTTTTTTTTAGTGTATCAATAAAATCAATCTATGTTCTGTCAGCTGGTGTAATATCACAAAGATTAGGGCTCACATATATTCTATCTGTAGGTTTTAAACAACAAGCTAAGTATATTTATTAACATTTTTTAGGTGGTGGTTAACTCTAATTCAATTTAATACGAAAGTATAATACAACATATATAACTATTAGCGAATTATTATAGCATGTCATGTAGAATAAAGCATGAATTATGACCTGTTTTAGCTTGATGTTCATGTATATTTGATAACATAAATTGCATACAGGTTTATTTTTATGCAATATATTTTTTATGTATTTCATTTCACAATCTAAATTCTTCTTTGGCGTATTTGTGTATTTGGTTTCAGTTCTCTTACTCCTTATCCAGGTAGAAATGGCTCCAAACTTTTTACAAATAATGGAAACCGCATGCTTTTGTTACCCTTAGTTATAATTCTTGATCTGTTTTATGATTTCCTTTAAATTCAGTGTTTGGTTTGTGCTCTAATAATCACTGTCTACTGTGTGCAACAAACTTAATAAAGACAATTTTGTTGCATTCCAAGTCATGTTCAAGTTACCACCGTTTTAATCCAACTAAGTTGTAGAAATATCTGAATAATCAGTGGAAAATTGATACACCTGAGCTGAATTTTGTGTAAAATTATCAAATTTGTTAGAAAAAAAGATAAAGTCTACTATGGGGTTTCTAATATTACTTTTTTTTGCAAGTAATAGGGATTTTAAATTTTGCTAAAGTCATCTGACTGTTTTTAAGACTTCAGCTTTGACAATTCGTAGCATAATAATTGGCACAAGAAAAATTATATTTTCCGTTCACCTTAATTTCAGAAAGTCGGATTTCAAATTTTATCCCATTGTTCTTTTTTCAGCAAAGAGAACAGGTTGGTTTGATGCACGTACCATTAAAGCCGGAGGCACCATGAGTGCAGAGGTGGATGCACTGACTGTGGTAAACCAGCTGAGAGATCTCGCTGCGGACCCTCTGAATCGAAGAGCCATAGTTGAGGACCAGGGTTGCCTGCCGGGACTCATCCTTTTTTTCGACCATCCTAACCCACAGGTTGTCTACTCTGCACTGTTGGTAAGCATTACCTGAAACCTTTAAAGTTTTTTTCTACCTTTATGCCGTAAGACGGAGATTGTTGAGATTTATATGAAAAAAATAGCGACATAAACAGTGTTACACAAAATCTGTCCTAACTATGTTTTCTTGTGTTTTCTGAAATATGCAAATATCTCTTTCGTATTAATAAAGTGTATTCATTCAGTTGGTGAATGAGTGGTTTAAATTTGTGGGTTTTTTTGTTCTTTCCCACATTTACTGCATAGAAGCAGATTTTATTTGCAGCTGTAAGCTTATTTCGTTTTTTGTGATGCAAATACAGCCCAGCCTTTCTCTCATCCTCCTATTTTAATTCACTGAAACACTTTTGTGCAGCACCACATGTTAGTGCTGCTACGCATTTTGGTGGTTTGATGTAAGAACTTATTAATTATGAAATCAGAGTTTTGGTAATGTATGTGCAGCTGACCATGAGTGCCTCGTTTAAAACACTTCTCTGACGTTTAACCGCAGACAGATAAAAGCTGCCCCTCTCCCTTGCAGGCTGTGCGGTACCTGGCAGAATGTCGGGCCAACAGAGAGAAGCTGAAGGGCGAGTTGGGCATGATGCTGAGCTTGCAGAATGTCATGCAGAAGTAAGTCTCTGTCTGCAGCATGTCAGAAATGCATGCTTATGATGCACTTCGTTTTATAAACCTTAGATTTTTTTTTTCGTTTTGCTTGGGCAGTTTCTGTAGTATTTCTGGACACAATGTTGGTTTTCACTTGTCATTTCAGGCTGAGTGTTATTAAAGCTGAATTACTGGAGAGTGGCAGTAATACAAAATGCTGATTGCGCACACAGTCAACATACATGATTCTCACTCTTAACTGATGTGAAGATGAATGTAATTATTTTAAATTTAAATTATAAACAAGCCAAAAAATAATAAAACAATACAAATACAAATGATGGCCAGTCGTTTGTTGTTAAATGGAAGTGTAGCCTGTTGAAGTGAAAGACATAACAACAGCTTTATTTAAGGGTCTGTGGCGACAGTCCTTTTATTTAGTCAAGATTTAATGGGATGTATCAAGAACAACTTCAGCAAAATTCAAAATTTTTGATGCCTGGTTAAATGCTGCAATCTGGATTTGTTAAAAGAAAATCTAGGGCTTCTTTATCATTATGACTTCATTTTGTAAAAAAAATCACTCTTAGCCTGACTCTTATATTTATCGATCCACACCTCCATTCATTTGATTGACACCGATCACTTTGCTACATTTTCACATGACTACTTTTCCAAATTGTTTTTCTTTGGTTCTCTCTGACCTTGAAGGAGCACGTCGCCCGGGGAGACCAAACTGCTGGCGTCCGAGATATATGAGATTCTGCAGTCGGCTGGTAAAGAAGAGGCTGAGCAGGCCGAGGCAGCTGCTGCGTCCTGCCGCCGTAAAGCCCACTTCTTCCTCGGCTCCAACAACAAGAGGGCCAAAACTGTAGTTTTGCACATCGACGGACTGGATGACTCTGTAAGTGTTCACACGGCGCGTCAGGACTGTACCCTGCCCCTGTCACATTGACACACACACCCGGTGTCGGTTGATGTGCAAATATCCCTTTTAGATCAACATGTTTGCTGCTGTCATAATCACAGATATGAACACATCATCTTAGGTGCGTCTGCGCGGCTTATAAGAAGGTTAAGGGCACAGGTTGTAAATGTCAGCCATTGAACAGCAGGATGCTGAGATTGAACTTGAATGTTGCTCAGCAGGAAGCCTGCATCGAGCCTGATTACATTACTGCAGACAGACGGCCTCCGGTGGGCTGCACTAACGCACAACGCTGCAGAGGCTCAAAACTCTGTGCTCAATGTTTGTGCAGCATTTGAAAGCTGTTTCCATATTTAATAGCTCATGCAAACAAAATGATAGTTTTACATGCCTTTGGGATCTCTTTATCTGTGTCCTTTGTCTCGTCAGACTCGAAGGAGCCTGTGTGAGGAGGCTTTGCTAAAGATACGAGGAGTCATCAGTTTCACCTTCCAGATGGCCGTGAAGCGATGCGTTGTCCGTATCCGTTCCGACCTTAAAGCCGAGGTATTCCCTTTGAAATAGATAACCACTCACGTTTACCCTCGATTTATGGGGGGCAGCGGGAACCGATTCTCTGTGTAATATCATTGGATAGATTAATTTTATGACGTTGAATGTCTTCTCTCAGGCATTGGGAACAGCAATTAACTCTACCAAAGTGATGAAGGCTCAGCAGGTGGTGAAGACAGAGGATGGCGGAGAGGTAAGGACAGCTGGGAAGTTGCACTGTTTACTCAAACTGCTTTACAAAAAGTTACCCCCCCACAGAGGAAGTCAGATGATAGGTCAGTGTGTTAGATGTGGTGTGTATCTGTGGACATTTTTGCTTCATGAAAATCATGAGATGGCTTTATGACTGGGAAATATTGCCACTTATGGGCTTCCACGCCACTTTGTGACTTAGTGTCACTGGTGGGCATTTAACAAATGTTTCTGGGTGATAAATTATCCCAGAAATTATTGAGTTAACCAGTGAAATTGATTTGAGAACATTTTAAAGAAATATAAAGATAATGGCATAACAATGCAAGTTTTCCATCCCTAAGACTAATCAACTTTAATTTAACAGCAGAACTGGAAGATATTTTAAATACTCAAACTAAAACACAACAGCCAAAAGCAATAAATATAATTTAAATAATTTAAATAAAAATTACACGTAACCGAAACCATAAATAAAATCAATTGATGTTTTTGTAAACAAAATTGTACTTCAAAAAATATCGATCGTCAGAATGAAAATTAAATTCTCATTTGAACTTTTCACCTGATTAGTTGATTACTTCATTATCTATCGCAGTTAAACTCTATCCATCCAGTATAATAAGCAACAAACTGTATTACAATTAGTCCTTTATGGTATTAATATTGTCCACAATGATATTAAAAATATAAGTGATAACATAACGTTTTGATAAACTGATTTGTTGCTGGTTCTTGCAGTTTAAACACAGAGAAAACATTTGTAACTATGCATCATGTGGCCAGCAGGGGTCAGTCAAATCTCAGTCATGTCTTGTAAATACAGTTGAGGATTCTTGGCTTCATTGTGACCCTATTAAGTTATTAACTGTTTTCTTTAGCTGATATTATTTTTAGATAAATCGCATCGATTATTGTAAACAAAACACTCTTCATGTTCGGTGCGTTTCACTCTATGTCTTTGCTGCAGCTGATGGTACCATTCCAGGAGGACGCCTCGGTGCTGGTGGAAGAGAACACAGACATCCCAGACTACCTACCTGAAGACGAGAGTCCATCGCAGGAGCAGGACAAGGCCGTCACCCGGGTTGGGTCGGTCACAGACGGCCTGGGCTGGCTCAGCACGGCCGCCAACTTCCTGACACGCTCATTCTACTGGTGACATCTTCCCGCGTCTCACTCAGCGTAGTGTCGGTTTTCACCCTGCATCACTAGTTTTAGGTTCCCCTCTCAACAGCACATGTGCTGGACTGCCAGTTGGAACATGCAATAACTTTAACATGTGCAAATATTAGGCTACAAATCCCACAACAAAGCTGTTTGTTCACAACTATAAACTAACTGCAGATATCTATAGGACATAGCCAAAGGACTCTATATCCAGCAGAACCAAATAGCTTCCTGGAAATGAGTAATGCTATGTTGAACTAGTAGATAAATGGGAGGTTCAGTTTCATCTCTTTCTGTGCATGAGTTCAGCTCTTCATTTCCTTCCATCTATTCCAATATTTCCTCATTAGAGTCTTTAGCCTTTAAATTTGTCACATTTTCAGTCACGTTTTGTTTGTTCTTTTCAGCAAGCCACGTGCCAATCTCGCCCGTTGCCTACGTCTGCAAATATTTTGTGTGGTTTTTGAGTTGGTTGTAATTATTTATTCATAATTAAATGATTTGAGAGCTCTGAGCAAAGGCTGTCAGTTCGCAGAAAAAGGTAGACACCAGCAGAAACCGCTGCTCCTTCAGCCGGCGGCTAAATGAGCAGCGAGTAGCGCCTGAATTGTGATTCAGTCATAGCCATGCGTTGGACTGAATTGTGATTTTTAAATCACAACTTATGAGTGTTTTGGCTGAATGGTGCAGGGCTTGTCTCACAAATGTCATCTGTGAGTTTATTTAATGAAGTAATTCAGTTTAAAAAGTGAAGCTTCCTTTCACCTGGCTGTATTTCAAACGTTTATTTCTGTTAGTTTTGGTGACTCTGGCTTACAGCTAACAAAAACCCAAAATTCAGTTCTGTGAAATATTGTAATATTACATTAGATTAATTTAAAAAAAAAGGTTTTAGAACGGAAATGTCATTCTCTCAGTTTGGCTCATTCTTGTGTGAATTACAGCATGAAAGTTCTGTTTTAAAATTAAATTAACGATACAAAACTTAGAAGTGGAAGCATGAACTGCTGTAACATTTCTGGTAGATGTCTGTGCTGAGTTTGGACTTCATGAAACTCAGGGGACCAACATCAGCACATGACTTCAAAACAGTCAGTCGTAGCTCAAGTCCTGGATACATCTGTGTAAAGTTCTGACTCCTCTTCAGTCCAGACCTTGTAGATATTAAAATCTAAGGAATGGGTTTACTTTACAGTCCTCTCCAGACTGTGGTTTTCCCTGCAACGTCTTCTATTTCATATTTGCGGCTCGAGACAAATTTTATTTCACTTGACTGAGGGCATTCGGCTGGTTTTGGTTGTAGCATTTGATTTCTGCATCGAAATGAATGCTTTATTGGTCCTATGTGCTGTAAAAATTGTCAGACAAACTCAATTTTTTTGTTTTAATTACCTGTAAGCCATAGTCATCAAAATGAGGTGTGATGAATCCAGATACTATACAATGTATTTCACTTTTTAAATTGAATTACTGAAATAATGAAACTTTTGGATGATTTTTTAAAGTATTTAGATGCCGCTTGTTACACCCTTTTAATGTGTTTGATTTCTTTAGAAAATTTAAATCTATCCAACGTAACCGTATGCAGGTAACCTCTGAAGGTGAGCTCCTCTGTTAGTGGTCCTTCATTGACGATGCTACCTCTGCTCTCAGCCTCCCCCTTCACATCAACCTGGGTTGTGATCTGTCAGTAACACCACAGCTCTGCATGATGAAGCTGCCTGCTTGGTAAATATTTCCGCGTGTCTCCCTGAATTCCTCGGCCATTTTTACGCAGTATTGTCATGACAGCTTAGCCAGCAGTGTCCTTAAAGCAGCGATCATGTTGGAGCACACTCTCACATTCGAAGGACTCACACAAACGCTGTGGAGGAGATGTATATTTTGTAAATGGTGCCTCATTCCCTGACGTGAAGGATCTTTTTGTTTGTTTTGCTTTTAGTTTGAATAATTCTGGCTTTTATTATAGGTCACAAATTACAACAAGAGCTCGTAGCAGCTGGTGTTTCTTTTTAAACTCCTGAATTTCACCTCAGGTTTAATTATTCTGACTTGTGTCATTAACAGTTATTACATCCAGTGCTGACCGGGCCACTTTCCGTCTTTCATGGTACGGAGACGTCACGTTTGGTTGGGTTCAAACTGAGAAAACGGCAGAGAAAAGCAAAACTGGTGGTGGCCATGGTTTGAAAAGCAATAATTTTTTTCTGTTTAATGTCATCATATGTCAACAACACTTTGCAGACTGACGTCAGCGGGACGCGCATATGTCAGCAGTATTACTCTCTTCTTTATTTGTCCACGTTGCAGTTAATCTTTGTTGCATGTTTGTTTTTAGTATTTCAGCTCATTTTGCAAAGAAAATACTTGAAACCTGTTCAGATTTTTTTCTTTTTTGTCTGCCTCAGCGGTAATATCGAGAAAGAGCCTCTGACAAAACCCTCAAAAATGTAATCTCTTGTGTACAAACTTGGCAGATGTAATATAACCTGTGCAGATTTTAAAAGCTGTAGATTCCTGTACACTGTTAACGCGAACGACGATAAACATTGAAATAAGAGAAATGGTGCCGGCTTTTAATTTCTGTTGTCGCTGTTGTTCTCTTGTTTCGTTTGTTTGGCATACTTTTACCTCACATCGCTGCCATTCAGTCGTCCTCTACGTCTCAAATAAGACTGCTGAGGGTGGCGAGCGTTCCCCACGCAGAGAGAGAGAGAGGAGAGAAAATTCTGTTTTCTTTGCTGGTGCATAATCGTATTGCCTTGGGGCAATCCTGTGGCCTGCCTACCACTCCCTCTAAACCCCCCGCCACACACACCACAAAGCCGAGGTGCTGGTAGGCAGGCAGAGGTAGGCGCCAAGTCCAGCTGGAAGCCCTGGAGCCACTGATGCTGCTGATGCTGAGGCTCCAATAAAATCCTGTGCCAAGCTGTGGAGAAGGCCTTTACTCAGTTTCTGCATCATCTGGATGTTTGTTTAGTTTCAATTCTGACCCCTCTGGACTTCCAGAAGAGTGTTTTTTTTTCCTAAAACTTTAGGTTTAATTGGGAAGTTCAACCAAAACTTAAGAATTTGGCTACTTTTTACATTCAAAATAAATGTGAATGTTCAGTATATGCAATAAAAGATGAATGTATTAGAAGACTTTACACACAGCAGTGCCACTGACAATACCTTCAGAATCCTGAAGGTATTTATTAGCATGAAGCATAAATGGGCCAGTGGACTCAAACACTTTTCTGAAATTTATTTCCTGCACTCCACCACTAGAGAGAGACAGAAAGATGGCAGAGGAGAAAGTGAGCCGTCCAGACCAAACTCAGGATGCTTAGCTGTAGGTTTTTGACATGTTGGGTTGAAACGCCATTAAAAGAATTGTCAAGTTGTAGCCATTTTCTGACTTTGTTCTCAATCACAATGCTTCAGTAGTTAGTGTTCTCAGTACTTTGTTTCAGTCCTTCATTCTCTCTCAAAGATTTCCAGCGATGTTCACACAAGGCACATGCAGCCCTCGCCTCTTATTTTCAAATAAAACCTTCATATAATTTCCCTCTCCGACTCAGATAAGCAGCAATACAGAGTCTCCTTTTCACTCTTCCTCCTGCTGATAAAACTCAATCAGCCTCATGCCTCCACCTCATATCAGGCCACTTGCCTGCAGAAAGCTCCATGTGCATAAACGTGTTTTCGGTATCACCCTCCCACCTGCGTATATTTGCATGTTTAATCTGCACTCGGGGAAGATGGGGCCCTGATGCAGAGGAGATAAGGTGAGTCTCCTGAGGAGTTTTATTGAAGGTTCAGCTCCCAGTCAATGGGATCAGCCGTAAATCCCGCTCAGACTGTGGCAGGAAATGATGTGACTCCTGCAATTTATGTCAAATAACTTTTGAGGATGTGTGAGTGTAAGCGATCAGCCCTGCCAGAGCAGTGATAACTCTTCGACAGAGAGGCCCCGGTGAAGATTTAATTGAGACATTTTTCTTTATCTCCGGTAAGGCGCCGGGGCCGTGTTGTTGTGTAACGAGATGTAATGTCTCTCTTTATACGGGGGTCAACATCCAGGATGAGGGAAGGTCATGGACTTACTGTTTAAGCATCCAATTTGCTCACATAATACCCGCTCTACTGGGAGCTGGGTGAGTTACACAGAGCACTCCGCACATTCACACTGCAGGCAGCGGTGAGGGAATGCCATGCCTCTGAGTTTACAGCTAGATAGCCTTAGCCTTAGCATTAAATACAAATGGAGTGCAATAAATTAGAATATCACCAAACAATTCAAGCTATTCAGTAAATTAAGTCCAAAATTAAAATTCATAAAACATATTTTGCCCCCAAAACTTTTTGGTGCAAAAGAGTTTTAAATAGAAGAATTTAAAAGTTTATCCTTCAACAAACATGAAGCCATTGAAATTATGTAAGAACCGGTGTGCTTTGATAAATTTTTCCTGGTGTTGGTCAGGATTCTGGCAGCAACATTTTGAATAATCTGCTGCTGCTGCTGCTGATGTCAATTTTTTTTAGAGATAAGAAAAATCACTGTGGGGATGATCTAACCTATTGAAAATACAAATATGAACCAGTCCTCTGTTTTTTTTTTCAGAGGAACCTCTTTATTCCAACAATGATTTTTGAAGAATCACCTACAGCGGCCAGAATCAAACTCATCACCATAACCTTTCTACTCAATTTCAAGCAGCACAGACTGAAGCTGTGAGATTAACTCTTTGGCCATTTTTAAAGTTCACAGAGTTCAACTCTGGATAACAAAATCGTGCAGAGGCGAACGTCTGTAGAGTCTGGCACTGACTTATAACTCAGCATATTTAATGTCCAACGACTTGATATAGGTTGACTTTGAAATATTGAAGTGCAACTTGAGCCAGTAGCTTATGAGTTTGGCTGTCTTCCTTTTTAAAATTATGTCAAAGTATTTGAGTCTTTATCATAACATGTCATTCCTCATATTGTGCGTTGCCTCCTGCAGTTTGCACGGGGCCTTGATGAGATGCACACACACTCACACCATTGTGGCCCTAACTCATTACAGTCCCCTGGAAGATTTGGATCCTCTCTCTGGCAGTGATGGAAAGGAGGAGGATGGGTGTGGGGTGGGGGGTCTCGTCCTCTGACACCACTATGTCCGCCTGGCGACAACCACTCCAGGCGCTGATTGGTGGGATGAAATATTGCCGGTGAAAATTAAAAGGTCCCAGTGTCAAAATAATTCATGATATGCATATCTTCCCGGCTTGATGACATCGCTGGATTAGATGGATAATAAAAGCTTTCAGGCTACAGTGAAACAGTTTGAGCTGCAGCAATGAGGGGGCAGAGAGATTGCGTCTATGTGTGTCAAAGGATGTGGATTGCAGGGTCAAGATACAACAAGTGTGGACGTGCACGTGTTCTTGCATGTACTGGGTTCGGACTGAGCCTCTATCAAGGCTGTGCGCGCGACTGTTTCTTCGCCACACACCCAGGACCTGTGATTTGAATATCCTCTGTAATTGTCCCAAAACGGCTCATCAGTGGATCTGCCTGCTGCCATTAGGGCCCAACAAAATGGTGTGACATTCAAATTCCCCTCAATGACAGGTTATTAGAGGCCCCCAAGCAGCCGGCACATAATTAAGCACCGCAGCGCTGACCTGTAATATGAAGAGATGGTTGAGTTGTAAAGTGGGAGAGAATGAAATGAGGCTGCTTTGTTAAAACACAGGAGAACTACTTGATTTTTTGGGGGGAGAGGAAAAAAAAAATCAGAACAGCTGTCAATTCACAAAGACGATTCTATGAAAAACTGGGAGCCAGATGCTGTTAAAGCAGCAACACTTTGTAAGAAGAAGTGATTTATTTTCTCATGACACCACACCGGTCTGTGAAATGCAATTTAAAAAAAAATCTTTTACATTCAGTGGTGCCAGAAAATGTCTCAGTTTAAACAAGATGGCAAAAAAAAAAAAAAAACAACCTGAGAAAAAAAGCAAACGCGTGATTTTTATTTGTGACACCAAGAGCTGATTACACAACTTAAGACATGCTGTCCGAGGCCCCCGCTTCCCCCTTTAGAACAAGTGGACATTGTGATGAGCAACGGACCCATCTGCTGTGCCCTCTTCTCCAACTGGTGTGTGAACAAGACTGAATCTGAAGGTGCTATTTTTATCACGGTTAATACAAGTAGTACCTGGAAAATATCGACTCAAATCAGTTTCATGTTTCATTGCTTATTATACACTGCAAAAGTGGATAACATATTAGTGAAGCCTTCAGATATATAGATGATGTAAAATACGTCAGTTCATCATATTGACGGCTCCCTCTCAGTTCACCTTACTAATGGAGAAAAAACAACATTTAATTTGACAGAAATGTAGCTTTTGTCTGAAAACTAATCATGATTTCAGACAAATCATGATTAGACAACATGATTTGTCTAATTGTGTTGGATTTGGTGTAGTAGCTGCAAAATACACAATGATATGCACTGATTTAAGGGTTAGCACCCATAATGCTAATTATTATGCTAATAATTTCTACTCCCCCACTACCCTCTGCAGGGCCCTTTTGTTTATTGCAGCTGGAATACCAGCTGCAGAACAGTATAAGATGATATGCAATATGAAAAAAGGGACATTGTTTGATTCTTCTGAGCTAATTAGAACCATAAAGCTAATGCTAAAGCTAATAATCACAGTTTCCCTCACAATGCTCTGTACGACTTCTTGTCTACCATTTAGCAACTGGACCGGATGTGCCAATATGCTATGCTATCCAATAATAATATGCAAAATTGTGGAAGAGTATGACAGAAGAACACAGAATAACATCACTAGTACACTCCACTCCAGCTGATAACAACGGTGATGCCAAGCGCCACAAACATATTTTAAATAAAGTGACAATATAAAGCAAGATTCGTTTTCAATGGCACCTCCAATGGGAGGTCAGGTATGACCGTGACCCCTCCTGCAAAGCTGCTGGCCACACCACTGCCCCCCAGCAAATCATGTTCAGTTCATACAAAGGCACACAGAATCATCTTCTGAAATCAAGACATACATGTAAAACACAATAAGTAGATGGAATTTTTTTTTTAAAGTTGGAATTTTTGGGGGGAGCATCGATGTTTGGCTTCCCTGACTGTCTTCTCGAAGGCTCTTTTTGTCTATCAAGTCAATATTAAATATGATTATCGAAGGATACTTAATTTTACATTTAGCTGTGGTAATAGTAGTCACAAAGACAAGACTATTAACTCAGTTCCCCTCACTGTCCTCTGCAGGGCACTTTTGATTTCCATGTTGCAGACTGAGCACCAGCTATAATACACAATATGACAAAAAGACAGCATTTCATACAAGGACTTACAATGCCTCTCTATATTAAAGCTTGTGGTTTAATGTGCTCTACTGCCAAATGGAGGACTTCCTGTTTTTTATTTGATATGAAGCTCACCTTCACATACTAGGATAAAGGAAGTCTCCATGATAAACTGGAAGCCAGAGGCTTGTCTAATGGTGGTTCTGTGGCAAGACTCCCGAACAGAAGGTCTGCACT